ATTCAAGTTTTGTGCAAAAACGCATGATCGCTCCGGCTCGCCTGGTGCGTTCCAGCCTAGGTTCACATTCCTCCGATTGTCTTTTCAGTTCCGAACCGCTGAATAAAGGTAAACTATCTATCAGGTACTGCTCGACCCTCAAGGCAAAACGGCGCAGAGAGTGTTTTCTACTCACTAGCAGATATCAAAATCTTAATCTTATTATGCTCCGACAACATGTAAAGGATCACATAGGAATCGCTACACTGATAAGTTGCTGAGCACTAACCAATTTGTTCTAAAATTGCCTCGGCTAATTCCTCTGGATTTGTTTCTGTTGCGTACACGTCTACACTGTTACTGATCGATTGGAAATACGTAGGATCACCAATGACGAGGGCACGCGGCGCCCCGTGAAATCTCTTCATAGCCAAATTTATCATTGAATCTCTGGCCGCTTTCATATCAGCCTTGTACATTTTTCTGCTCCTGTAAAGTGACTGTTCAGAAATAGAAGCCGAAATGCGCTGAAATACGACGAATTAGTCAAGAGGTGAGCAAAAAGGAAGTAGCTTATTTCGGTTGTTCACAATCGAAGTGAACCGTAAGCAGCCCTAATTACTTTATTACGTTAGCATCTTTACAACCAGACGGATAAGGTGACTTGTGAAGGGATTAGTTTTTCAGGCAGTTCTTTCAAACAAAGACAGGAGCATAAGACTAATCTACGGGCATGGTTCAATTCGCAACGACACCTAAAATAGCTCTTAAAATTACCTGTATGCTGTACTGTCTGGAACAAATAGCACATATAAAATTTGAGATGACCATGGTAGCTGCTGGAAGGTTTCAATGGCGCTGCAAAACTTACTTAATAATCTTTTAATTAGTTAATTAGTTCTAAAATAAAACTAATAACAATCCATTTATTCGAAAAATGTTAATCTGTTTCTTATACTTACATCCTTTCAAAATAAATCAAATTCTCTTAAATCATCAAGTGTCATTTTAAATCTTCTATGAAATTCAGCAGAATGCATACTGTTTTGTTGTGCCGTCCGCAACTAATTCATCTGATCTGTTTTGTTACGGCTAGATCCAAGTCAAAATCCCTTTCTGATTGCTGTCCTCATGTAACATATACTTATTTTGAAAATCTTATCTATCTTTTTGTGTTGGCTACTATTAGCCACACATACATTAGGGAGTAGTTCTTTGGCTACTCCAACCACATGTAGCATGCTTTCTAGAGCACGCACCAAATGCATGGTCGAAGGACCATCTTTTCCATAATTCTACAATGCCGATTTATCGGTGCTTATTTCATAATTCTCCAATTCCATGTCAAATTTATTATTACATAACAATTTGTATCTTCTCCCAGTTAGGCCTATTTGTAGCTCAACCTAGAAAATTCAGTTTGACCTTAGCTGATTTTTCATGACCTATAGAAAATTGTCGCTTAGACGATTGCTGTTGGATTTTGGCGGGCTTAATGGCTATATAAGGAAGGGTTTTTCAGTAG